TAAATAATTAAAAATTTAAAATAAAATAAAAATACAGATCAATCTTCACTTTCTTTTAATTTCATATCAAATAATTTTAAAAGATTTTATTATTCAAAGAATTTATAAAATTATGTATTATTATGGTTTATGATTGATAAATATTAAATTTTCGTTTAAAATCAAATAGTTTATGAACATTTAAGAAACATTTTTGTTAAATAAAAAATTTTAATTAATAATAAACATTATAAAATACAAATTTATTCTAAAAGTAGCTTTGCAGTAGTTCCACTAATATCCTTATTAATACCATGACGTACAGCAAAATCATGTTTTACAGTTGAAAAAAGGATATCTGTTAGTAAAAAAATTTGTGCTATAGCAAATGCTAATGTGACCCCAAAATAAAAGTTTGCATTAGCTGATCTGGAATAAATCCATTGATACCAAACAGTGGGTGCAAAAATTGTACAAAATAGCATAAAACAGCCTACAATAAATCCTTGTTGTGTATCTGTAAAAGAATATATTTTTGTGATATGATATCTCATATTAAATAAATAAACTATGTAGCTAATATAAAAAACTTACATTGGAATAAATGTTTCCAGAGTGGTAAAAGAGACATATAAAATCCAACATCTCCAATGCAAGGGTAAGATTTAAATATGGCAGTAATTGCTAAATAAGAAAATGCTAATAGCATTGGATCATGTCGTAATCTCAATGCTAATGGTACTATATATAATAAACTGACATTTATTTGAAAAGAAGCAATGAAAAGCCATCTAAAATGCTCAAATACTTCTGTAAAAAAGTACCAATAAAGTCCAACGTTTGGACGTAAATCAGGAACTGTCAAAATAAAGCCAATTGTGCTCCAAATAAATGACCAACTTCCCATAATGTAATAAGAAATACAAAATAGAGCTGTCAACATGCTTATAAATATTATAATAAACTTCACAATATTGCTTTTTCGTTTTATATTATTAGAACGCGCAATATAAATAATTGCTGGTACTAAAAGTGAAACAGGATAAAGTCCTTGTAATGTTAATAAAGCAATTGATAAACAACTCCAAAATATAGAACATTTTGTCATTGAAACCAATGCTATGGAATACAACAAATTTGTAAATACTGTTGTTGTATGTCCAACACAATTAAGTACTATATATGGATTAAATAAATATCCTGCTGAGACATACATCATAGAAGTATATATTATGGAAGTATCATTATCAGTTCCTGTAGTTTCATTATATGATTTTTCCTCTTCTTTTTTTTTAGAAACCTAGAATTAAAATTATTTCATCATAATATTTATTATTATTAAAATTATATTTTAAATGTACAATTTCACTGACCAATTCGGTTGCATATTGTTCTGCTGTAAGTCCAAGAAATAATGCTGTTAATAAATCAGTAAATATAAATAAACAAAATAGTATCCATTGTGAGAAATGTTGTTGTACAAAATTAAAAACATATAATCCAATGGGTGTTTCATGAAATAAATCTCCTGTATAAGGATCAATACCAAAATTGTACAAATATACTCCTTCCGTTACTAGAAATGAATTAGAAGAAACGTAATAATTGTCATTATTATTATTGTTAATATGACAATACAAGTGCAACAATATAAGTGCATACATTTATATATCATATATATCATTCATGTCATTTATAATAAAAAATAATAAACAATATAAAAATATTCAATTTGTTATTATTCCATAAAATTTAAAAAACAAATTGACATTTATTCTAACCTCTTTTCCAAGAATTTAATGCAGTAGAAACTTCTACACAATTGCTGATCATTTTTTGATATTCAGAATTCATCAATAAAAATCGAATAGTACCGGCCAATATGAAATTTGATAACCATTGTGTCATCATTTTTTAATTATACTACAGCTTGTTTGTATATTCGCTACACAATCTATTTATGAAACACAAGTAGTATTTAAATAGACATACTACACATTTACTTTCTTCATCTTCACTATTTTTTAAAATATAACTTTTAATGACAGTATCTTTTTCTTTTTGGTATCAATGATACGTGTTTCATTCTCAATAGATCAAATCATAGATAGCATGTGAGTGATATTTCCTTGTTTAATGCTATTTCATTTCTCACAATTCAATAAAAGAGTCATCAATATGCATTCATACATACATATATAAATTAGAAATCAATTTACAATAAAGCTTACTTCATTATTAGCTGAAATATTTTAATATACAACTTTTATTTAAACAATTATTATTATTCGTATATAAATATTACTAATATTAATTTTCGATTCAAGTCGAAAATATAAATAAATAATAGAAAATGTAAATAAGTAAGCTGTACTTATAAACGAACAATTTGTCTTAAAAAAAAAAGAAAAACAATTACACGAATATTATATGAAATTAATCTTTTACACTCTTAAAATGAAATATTATCATTTTTATCATTCTATTATCCTGCTCTTAAAAAATTACATGTAATTTAAATTTAATATATTACAATGTTTAATATTATTTTATTTATTTGTATCTTTTCTCATATTTTATAACTAAATAGATTTGTTACTTTTAACTTTATTTCTTAAAAGTAACAAAAAATGTGGAACGCTTCACGATTTTGCGTGTCATCCTTGCGCAGGGGCCATGCTAATCTTCTCTGTATCGTTCCAATTTTAGTATATGTACTGCCGAAGCAAGTACGTTAGCTTCCTTTAACTTCTTGTATATATAGAAATAATTCACCTTCGATCACTAGTGAGAAAGGTTTGTCTATTTTAGCCATCTAGTGGCGGATTGTTGCAAGATAAAATACAATCAAATTGAGAACATGGTATTTATTGCTATTATATTTTCTTTTAAATTCAATATTTTTATAATCAAAAATTGTCATAATATTAAAAAAACAATTTAAATAAAATTTGATTTGCAATTAAATATTACTTGTACAAGTTATCAATACATTTTAGGTTATGCAATATTTTTATTAAATTCATTTCATATAAGATCCTTAATTTATACAAATTATAATTTATGAGAATATAGAAAATTAATATTAATAATATATTTTATTTTAGCGATTGGTAGGATGGCGTTATGCAGCATTTATCGGAACATTTGTGGCAATTGTAGGCACATGTAGTTATTTTACTATGATAAGTCCCATGATTAATCCAGAACCATATAGTAAATATATAATATTTTATATAGTCTTTATATAATACTATTAATAGTTATCCATTATAGAATTATTTATTTTTCATCAAAAATAAAAATTTTAGAACAAATTCGAGAATATGTGGCACAGGTTGAAAGTAAAAAGAACAAGAAGGAAATATAAATATAAAGGATATTAATATTTAAGGAACTTTACTTTGCCAGAGAAATGATCGAAGAAGACATTTATTGTATAAAAGTTTTAATATGTATTATACTTGGACATATGTCTAACATGTTGGTATATATAAAATAGACTGAAGAACATGTAATATGTTATGTTAAAAAATCAATAAATGTAATGACTTGCACTCTTTTTACAATTATTAATATAATTACATTACTGTACAGGTCATATGCTGCAAGAAGTTTCTTATTTAAGATGACTAGAAACTCTCCTACAGGCATCTTATAAACATAATATACAGTTCATGTTAAAAGTCATCATGATCACAAACATCTAGGAAAACATCAAATGCCTCACGATTACAGTTTCCATCGGCAGTAAAAACATACTTATGAAATGTTCCATCCATACAAATAGCTAGAAATAGTATAAAATATAAAATTAGAAAAAATAGCTAATATATCAATACTTTCATATGCTATATACCTATAACAGAACTTCTTGTACCAAATGCACACACACAAGCACATTCTGGTGGTACTGTAAAAGTAGCCAATGCCCACTGACTTTCAACATAATTTCCCAAAAATCCTATTTTTGAGAAACTACAAATAAATTAACCATTAATTTTAATTCCTAAAATTTATAAAAATTTTAGTTATGTTTACGTACGTTGATCTACGATTTAATTGCGTGTCTTTTAATGCAAATATGTGTACTGTTCCTTTGTCACTGGAAGCACACAGAAATTCCGAATCTCTACTAAATGTAATGCTGAAATATTATTTATTATAATCCATAACAATAAAATCTTTCAAAGTAAAATATTGTTTTATAAACTCATTTATTTGTAGTTATATTTACCAATAAAGTGTTGCAGGATCAGCACCTCTTCTTAATTCCACTAATAAGTGTCTACGTATACTATCCCATACCCTAACTAGAGTACCTTGTGTGGAAGCAGTTGCTATCATAGTCCCACTACTGTTAACTGCGAGACAAGCCAATGCACCCTAACAGCATTGTTTATAAATACAAGGAAATACTAAGAAGAGATAGGGTAATATACAATTATCAACATCAAAGGTTATATCCTTATTTAAGTTTATGTATAAAATACACATACCTGATGGGCTGCAAGAGTTGTTGGAGCACTAGAACTTCCAGCTTCTGTAGCACCAAGATCAACTAGCTGTACACTACCTTGCTTGTGACCAGGAAAAGCAAGTAACTGTTTTTGTGCTGTAGCCAATGTAGCAACTTCGATTAATCCTCTTGGATTATCTCTGGTTTCTAAAGTCAATAATCTTCGTGTTGGCATAGGAAATGAAAAAACATGTATTTCCCGTTGAAGTGCCACTATCATTCTGTTTTGTAAAATTATTCCTAAGTAAATGGAACATTTATATTGACTAAAAATAAAAGTCAATGTTATAAATGAACTTACTTATCTCTACGTAATCGTACTGCCTTAATAGGGCTGGTAAATGTAACCTCCATTACAAATTTCTTAGATAAGTCATCATAAATAAGGACTGTATTTTCTGCAAATTTTGGTCTTGTACCACCACCTACTATGGCAATAATGTTTGTTCTCCAAAGCATCTCTGCAATAACTATACTTCCCATTATGTCATTTTCCAAATGTGCTTTCTCAACTAATGGTTCTACATTATACACTCTAAGACCAGATTCCATACAACATGTAAAACATCCTAAAAGAATATAAATTAAAAACAAATTATCAAAAAATAAAGTTAATTTAATAAAAGATAAAAAATGATTAGTAATATTAATCGACAATACTATTTAATAATAACTAACAATATTATTATAAATAAAACAAATTTATATTTACAGTAATTAATTTTTTTATTATTTTATAATATCATTTTTATCTCTTATAAAATAAAATATAAGTTTTTAATCCTTTTAGTTTCAGAAATTCATTGTGATAGTTAAAAACTTAAGTAATTAACGTTATGAATAATAGCTACCTTGATCCTGATTAAATTGTAAACTAAGAATATTTCTTTCTCCAGCCATTTGGTCTTACATTAAATCGAACAAATGAGTATTTTTTCTTTTGATATATAAATGTTTTTCTCAATAACTATACTACGTGTTTTTGTTTACATTCTTCCTTCACAATCAGCTGTGACACAATGTTTGGTACAGTATTTCATTCTTTACGAGATACGTAAGATAACAAATGTAAGGCTGTTTGTATCTTATATTAGATTTCTTTTTTGTGTAATTATAATTATTTTTGTTAGATAATATTTTTCACTATAATTTTAATTATACACTTTATATATATATATATATGTATACTTAAATTATAATAAAAAATTATAAAAAATTATTTCAAAGATAATAACAAATAAAATTGCTATTTTCTTGAACAAATAAAATCTCTAGCATGAAACTATCCAACTTTATATTTATATCATTGGCTATAGTGATATTACTAATATCCTGCATTGCAGGTCCTATACTGTGTAGGGGCCTGTGTTCATAAAATTCTGTCAAAAAATGTCAGCAATGGTAAGTTTTAAATATAAAAAATAACTTAATATTTTGTTTTATCTATTTTTGTATATATTTGATATAACAAATATGTTTCATATTGAATTGAACATATATTTGAAAGGAGTTTGTGTTATCCCCTCCTTACTTCAAGTTTCATCAATACTTGTGACAATGAAAGTGATATACTTCTACTAAATATCATTCATTGCTCCGATGATAAAATTAATTTTTTCATAGAGAATGAAAGCAGTAAGGTGTCCTACTGATGAACTCAGTATCACGAATTGTGCTATCATCAATCCAGATGACTTTCCAGATGATGTCAGGTAAAGATGTCATCTTATGATTAATTCATTGATTTGGTACCTATAATAAGATTTAAAGCTTAAGTAACTATAT